TATAAAATGAAGTGATAATGGATACAGTTAAATAACTGATTGATAATGATAATAATGCATATATATGCATTGGTTTGATAAGAGATAATTTGATATAAATTGCAAATGGTGACTACGAAAGGAGGTTTAGAAACTCTGTTATTAAATATAACCATTTTTTATTTAGAACATATTATAAAGATGTAATGTTACTGGATGATATTGGGAAGAGCTAATGGAATGCCATTATGTGGTTCTGCTTTAAATCTGGAATATTTTACATAAAAAGATGTAAAAACAATTATAGTCAAATGAAGGTTGAGGTATGATGATAGTAATATATAAAATATATATTTGATTTATAATATATCATTTGATATGAATTGTAGGTGATAACTGTGGAAGGAATGTACGGAAGTTTTTGTAACCAATTAACACACTTTCTACAATTTGTAATGGAAGATGGTTTTGTGGGGGGGGGTTGTGTGTTTTGTCTGTGTTTATTCAAAAATAAAAAAAATCTTTATTAAAAAAGAATGTTTATATAGCTAGGATTTATCATGGGTAAATCCAGAAATTAATTTAGTTATCAAATATGCACTTAAGGGGCTTCCATTGCAATTCAATACCCAATAAATTGATCTGTTTCCTGCCCTAAATCTTTACGAATGTCCTCATGTACAGTATTTGCCTTGATTAACAATAACTTGGAGGATTGTTACCAATTCCAGAAAATCCCAGATCTAAATCAGATAAAGATTTGCTTGTGCACTGCTCAGCTATGTGGTGAATGTAGAATAGATCCAGCCAGGAACGGCCATCATTATGTTGTTTTAGTCAAACCTAGGGAGATTTAGATTCAAGACCACTTTTAGCAATGGAAGCTTATTGGGCCAAGTCACTATTCCTTTAAACCTTTACAGTATCCTTAACAAGAGGGTTGTTTTGTGAAAAATCAGGATTTTAGGTTTGTCACTTTGAGATTTTGAGAAAAATGACATGTATCAATTAAATACATAAAAGAGATAAGTAATAATTGCACATGTTTTCCTGTTTCTGGACAGCAATTTTTGCGTATCAGCCCTGTTTCTTTGAAACAGCAATGCTTCCTGAACAATCATGCAAGAAGGGTACATAACACTTTTAAGGCCAAGAGCCACAGTTGTAGCAGTACATTCCATACTATCAAACAGTACTAAGGGCCAAGACAAGAATAAAATCTAAACATCAGACTGGCAGCTTTTGCAGATTTACATGAGGCATCTGAAGAG